GTCCTGGGCGGCAAAGGAGACATTAATTAAGTCGATTGCTTTAGCCTTGCCCCTGTATGTTATGTCGTATTTCCGACTGCCCCTCTCCCTTTGTCGTCTGTTGGATAGACATGTGGCCCGGTTCTGGTGGGGAGCTGAGGAGGGTCACCCCAAGATTCGGTGGGTGTCCTGGCGGAACCTTTGCCGGAGCAAGCATGATGGGGGTTTAGAGTTTCGCCGGTTTGACCATTTTAACCAGGCTCTCTTAGCTAAGATTGGCTGGCGTATTCTCAACGAACCTCACTCCCTCCTTGCTCAGGTGTATAAAGGGAAGTACTTTCCTCAAGGAACTTTTCTGTCTGCTACTGCTCGTTCTAGGCCTTCTTGGGGATGGCAGAGTATATTGTTTGGGCGCCAGCTTTTGGAGGCAGTTTTAAGATGGCAGATCGGCAATGGCCTTTCGGCCTCCCTTATCCACTCTAATTGGATTCCTGGGCTTCAGCTGGATCCCCCTTGCTATAATCCCACGTCCTGCCTGATGGGGGGATCCCTTGGTGGCGGAGGTTATTTTACAAGGGGAAGGGCGTTGGACGGAGGATAAGCTTAGTCAATGTTTTGACCCATCTATTTGTCGGGCCATTAAGGCTATCCCACTTCCGAGGCTGAATGTGGATAATAGACTGATCTGGCATAACACTTCTGATGGGGTGTTCTCGGTTAAGACGACCTATCATCTGGCAGTTGAGCTAGACAGGAGGAGGGGTGGGTGGCGGGCCTCGGTTAGTTGGATGGATAGGCAAAGCTGGATCCGGTTGTGGGAAGCTAAGATTCCTCCTAAGCTGAAAGTCTTTGTCTGGCAAATTTTTCATCGGGCTCTGCCAACCACCGAGGCTCTCATTGAAAAGAAGGTTCCTGTGATGCCCCGGTGTCTAGTATGCTGGGGTGGTCCCGAGACTATGGAGCATATGTTTCTTTACTGCCCGGTTGCGCGGGCTCTCTGGGACTACTCGGGGTTGGATTATTTAGGGGAGGGTTTGCCTCGTCACACGTTTCTGCTGTTTCTTAAGCGGATGCTCGCCCTTGTCCATGATCTGTCGCTGTTTATGGCTGTGGTTGCTATCCTTTGGCGGATCTGGCGGTCGCGAAACTGGGTTGTCTTTGAAGGCAAACAATTTGGGATTCCGGCTTTAATGCGCCAATTTCACTAGCAGTACGAGGAATGGGTGGGTCTGCCGGTTGACCAGCCGCCATGGAGGACCTGCCGGGTGGTTCAGCCAGGGATCCAAGTGGATGATTCTCATTTGGTTTGCATGTGGGATGAGGCCACTAAGAGGGGGTCACACTCGACTGGTGGGATGGTTCTTTTTGATCCGGGATGGACGCTCCTTCGGGCTAAAGGTGTGCAATTTGCACAAATTGATGAGCCAATGGTTGTGGAGTTGCTTGTGCTTCGAGAGGCTATCATTTGGTGTTTAGAGTGTGGCTTGTCCAAAGTTCGGTTCGAGGGTGATGCGAAGGTCATTATTGACAAGATTATTCAAGCCGACATGAGTGACAGTCACTTGGGGGCATCCCTGAAAGAGATTTGTCAGTATTTTGGTGCCCATCGGGGGTTTAGTGTGCGGTTTGTAGGTCGGGAGAACAATAGGGTAGCTCATTCGGTAGCTAGAAAAGCCCTTTCTTTGTACCCGATTGTGAATCGTTCGTTTGATTTCAGGGCCTGGCTGCTATTCAGGATGTAACTATCTTTTTGATTGGATTAATATATTATATCTTTTGTCAAAAAAATAAAAATCTCAAATGTCGATTTAACCACCCATTTCATCACCTCTAATATCCATACTAGCTCGCCATATCCATGAGTATCAGTGATTTAGAAATCCTACTGTATTGGCCGGTTTGACCAAAAATACCCAGTATCTTTTCTGAAACGTTAGCGATTTTAACAGTACAAAATGATTGAACCACAATTTTATTACAAAATATCATAGTACTAACTTTTCCAGTATGACTTTCATTTCACAAATTGTCATTTGATTCGAAGGTTCGGACAAATATATGACTTTCATTTCCAGTATGACTTTCATCACGTCCTTGTGCCCTTCCATAAAACCAAACTGATGACTTTCCCTTCGTCACGAGGACATATATAAGATGAAGTATGTGTATGGTTATATATATATATATATATACATGGTCAGAGAGAGCCATATACGTGTTCTCTGCTGCCGGGAACGCTCAAGTGGCTCCATTGAAAATCGAACTCAGGACCTCCCACATCTAGAACTCAATTGGTCCAGTGGTTTCACCACTAGGCTATGTTACTTTTAGCGTATCTCTGATCTTTCCTGTGTGTTGTTTACCTATTTTTAGGGCAAACCAAGAGAAAAAAAACGACCTTTTCTTCATCCTCTTCCCTGTGAATGAAGCAAAATGATATGGGTAAAAGAAAAGGCAGCGAAACTCATAATTAGCATCTCGATCCATGGAAAGGTCAGGAGCCAAACCCCCTGAGCGAATATATACGAAAGGGAAAAGAAAAGCCTAGCTATAGCTAATTAAGCTATGAGATCAAACAAAATTTCCCTGTGCATACCAATCTTGTAAAGCGCAAAAAAGATCACGATTACGATCGAGTTCCCGTCGTCGAAGACAGTAAAGTAATATATTAATCAATCCTCCTGATCCGCCGATCACGACATGATAAAGTTTGGTTGTCGACGTAGCTAGCTACTTTCCAGCCGCCAATGGAAGGCCGCAAAGCCCTCCCACGGGTTGCTTGAGACGCACACAAACGGACAAAAAAAAAAACCGGAAGAGCCACTCATGACCGTCACCGACGGTACCCGAGGCCAGTTTTTTGTCGTGGGAAACCCTAGAGCTACTCTGCTTGCTTGTTCTATAAGCTTGCTCGAGTTAAAAGAATTTAACTCATGGTGTAAATTCTACCCTAATGACTCTGAATAGTTGTTGAAGAGTCTCCCTTGAGGATTTGTTTAATGACCAAACCCATGTTTATATGTGGGTGGCGTCAATATGAATGGCAATGACAAATCGGGCAGTATCTTCATGTCATATCCGCCTCATGGCATGTCGAGTTTAAATTGGTTATTTTTAATGTTGGAATACGCTAATCCATACGGGAATGTAATTTAAAGGATCGAAAAACAGACTATGCATGATAACTATAGTCGAATTATTCTAAAAATTGAGATTCTTTGCATATTTATAGTTTTATGATAACTAGAATATTAGGTAACATATATAAAAGTAAACTTTTAAGCAATCTGAGAAAAATTGTATATAACTTAGACAAAAAACGAACCGAAAATGAGATAAATTACGACGAGTAAAGTCGCGATACCAGTTTTCTCATGTCCGCCCAATCTGATTAAATCGAAATTACAACTAGTAATACTAGCTTTCAAATTGCAAATTAACTTGGTGAACAGAGCAATAAATAGCAAACGGCACCCCACGAAATGAAGAGTTATGATTAAATGGCGAACGGCGTATTGAATATTTTCCTCTCTCTTTTTCTGATGATCATGATAGCGCATGAAAAATTCTAATTCATAGACATAAATTTCCGGGAAAAAGGAAAAGGAAAGGTTTAGGGTCGTCGTCGTCGAGTAAAAGAACACCCAATCTTCTCCATCTCAATCTCTGTGCAATCCAAAAAGGCAAAAAGCCAGCCAGCCAGCCAGCCAAGCACAGACTCGTTTGCTCTAATCACTCACTTCCCTTCCCAAAGCCTAGGCTTTACCTACGCCTGCATACACATCACAGCACCAATGGCAGTTCAATCTCCCGCCCCTTCATCAGTCATAACTAACGTTTTCTTCACTGCCCGGAAGGAAGACTCATGTCATTCCCAAGATTCAACCAACTACCCAACAAAATTCATTTTCCACTAAGAAGCTAGCTAGCTAACCGGGCAAAGCAAAGCAAAGGAAATGAGCAGCATTCTTGTCACTGTTCTCTATATGTCTTCATTCTTCTGCCCTTTCTCTTTCTTTTTTTTTTTTGTCTTTTCTACCGTCCTCCTGTCCTCTCTCTCTCTCTCTATGTCATCTCTCTCTCTCTCTATGTCATCTATCTACATATCTCTTTATTATTTTCTAAGAATTCAAAAGGAACAGAAAAAAAGAAACTTGTTTGAACGATCTTTTGTACGTTTGCATTATTAATATTGGGATAAGTAGAAACACTAGTACCAAATATACATATGTCACAACTGTCCATATCAAATTGGTTTGAGTAACTTGGTTGGCAAGTTTTCAGATGTTCCTCGAGGCACACTCCCTTACAACTAGTAGTGTGCAATAGTTCGGTCCGGTCCGGTCCAATGCAATAGTGAAAGACATCTTCGATTTTGTCCGGCCCTAACATTAATTTGGTTTATTTTTTATTTCGTATTTATAAAATGTACGGGATTAACGACCAAAAATCGAACCATGTTATATTCAACTCAATGTTGTTCAGTCCAAACATTGGTTCGGATGCAAACCAACCCGTTGCACACTCCCTGCTTACAAAAATATAAGATAATTAATGATCTATTTTTCAAGAAGAGTATATATATATATATATTAAGTGTTGCAAAACATGAAAGAAGAATAGTGGTGCCACACGGATGAATTAATTAATGAATTAGTTGCCATATTTTTTAGCGAATGAATGATGCCAAGAGACGAGAGAGAGCCCCCTAAAAGTTGTGACACTTAATTAGTTTCCCTCCAAACCACTACACGCCATGTTTTCAGAGATCTTCAGGCACCCAAAACAATACGCATGTCAAGTTTCTTATTATTATTTTTTTTCCTTTTGACTCTCACATAATTAATAAAATCTCTATCTTCAATGCACATCTCTAATCTCTATAAGAGCAGTAGAGCCCTCTTGCCATTGGCTTTTTCCTATATTAAGTAGCTAAGCTAGCAGGATTCCTCCATGCACGCCCAGCCAGAACCCTCTCATCATCATCTCTATATAAACCCGTCTTTCATACCTTTTCCTTCCCACTTTCCCGAATATGGAGAGTCCTCCTAACAATAACAATAACAATTACAATAACAATAGCAAGATCGGTAGTAGCAGTAGTAGTAAAGGTAAACGCAGCCCTCCAGGGAACTCGAGATGGAACCCGACGAGTCCCCAGATCAACTTGCTCGAAGGTTTGTACAACCAAGGCCTCCGGACGCCAACGCCCGACCAAATCCAGCAGATCGCCGCCATGCTCAGCGCCTACGGCCACATCGAGGGCAAGAACGTCTTCTACTGGTTCCAGAACCACAAAGCCCGCCAGCGCCAGAAGCTTAAGCAGGACATCCTCGACATCACCTCCACCGCCGCCGCGGCCGCCGCTAATCATCATCACAACAGTCAACTCCCTTTCCTTGGTCAACATCACCATCACTACTTCCTTCGCAACTCACACCCTCCTCCTCCGCCTCATCATCATCATCAACCGCCCGCTAGCTCTGCTCCTACAGGTACGTACTAATTTTATATGCATGCATGGGCTGCTGTTAGATTTTTGGGACGAATAATAGACTTCCTCCTTAAGAATAAAAATATATATCACCTTCTTTTTTTTTTTCTTCCACAAATAATCCGAGCTTTTTTGTTTTTGGGTTGGTAATTAAAATGTTTTTTCCCCAGTTATTTGTGGGTCGTACTATGCGCCACAACAACAAGCAGAAGATCAGGTAAGGCTGACACGTCAGCAACAACCCAACAACGTTATGGTGGTCCCACCGGGAGGCGGCTTTAAAGGGATGCAGAAGGTTCAAAGTTCCGACAAGGTGATCACAAGGACGGTGGCAGCTACTGCTGCCGCCGCCGCATATCATGACCGCCGCCACAGAGCAGCCGTCTCTGTGTCGGGAAACGACGACGATGATTTTGATCATAATAATAGTCGTGAAACGCTCCAGCTCTTTCCTCTGCACCCGACTGGCGGTTTGCTGGGAAGGGCTTTGTCTCCGCCGCCATATGTTACACCCGACAATAATTCTACCTCTGTTGGGGAGACTGCTGCTGTAAGCTTCGACGACGACGACAATTCTAGTACTGCTGGTGTAGGCTGCTGCAGCAGCTTCGACTTCTTCTCCCTCGGGCAGTCTCGTTTTTGTCGGCCCCATGGATTTTGATCCTATCCAATGGGATTCAGCTGCTGGATCGATATATTCTGCTCTTCTTGTCCTTGTGGGGAAGTTAATTAGTTGAAGTTCGATATATTCTGCCTTTGGTTATATTCTGCTCTTCTTGACGTGTACGTGAGATTGAGAATGAGATAGTAAGCTTAACTGTTTCATCCTTTCTTTCTCATTACCTGTCGCTTCAAGATAGAGCACTACTCATCAGTCGTCACCGTAAACTTTGTTGCTTCAGAACGAATTTATGTTATTTTCATTTTTCAACCTCTTGACCTCTAATGTTTTAGAGTACCGCGTACGTATGTATGATTTTACCGTAATTTGCAGCTCTTTGGCCTAACAAAATTTTACGAAATAAATCTAATATAAAATGAAGTGGTAGAGAATTTCCAGATGAGATGTCCGACAAACTCCATTACATTCACGTCATTAGCATCGACATTTTGGGTTATAATTAAGTTTATAATCATTTTAGGGGTTAGTTACTTAAGCCTTTATCCGTACACGAAAAATCTGCAGAAATATGGACATTTACAGCAAATTAAAAAATGTGCCAAACTTTTTTTTAGATTATTACCAAAACGTACAAATTAGTTTCAACAAGTGGGCGCATAATTTTTTTATTTGTTCATTGGTCAATCAAAAATTCCATTAAACTCAAGGAATAGCACTTTTGTCCCTTTCCTCTTCCCCTTTGAGAAACCTACTTTTTTCAAAAAGAACTCGCAATCCTGATGACTAAGTCAAATGGGTTTGATATATACGAGTGCACGTTGTGTAGTTAGTCAAGTTAGTCTTTTCGTAGTTTTAGTTGTTTAACCTGAATATGATCTGCTCAATTATAAACTAAAATTGAGTAATACTCAATAACTTAGTCATCCCCAACAACAACGTTAAACTTGACTCACTAAAATACAATACTCCTTACAGTGACCAAGTATAACCACTACAAGGGATTGCAGTAAAGTGAGTTCAGTTTCGAATGTCAAACCGGGTCCCAGGTGTACTAGTTACTTGGTTAAGTTCTATTATCTAGCAATCGAAATTGGGTGAAGTTGATTGTAAGCAAAAGCAAAAAGAAAGCAAGTAAATGTTCGGGTTTTCAACTACGAGAAAGGTCACCCAGATATGCGTCCCCCAGTCTGCAGTTAAGTCAGGTTGTAATTCCCCAAGTTTATTTCAATTGATACACTACAAGAAAAAAGAGTTTCAGTTACCATATTCTTGGCAACCATAGAAAAATGGTTGCTTATAACCAAGTTTCGGCAACCATTCACAAAATAGTTGCTAATACCAAACTCTAGTGCAACCATTGGTAAAATAGTCGTTGATAGGTCAAAACTTCAGCAACCATTCATAAAATGGTTGGTGATGCCTGACTCTCTAGCAACTATGAGTTAAATGGTTGATAGTAAACCAATACTTCCGCAACCATTCAAAATATGGTTGCTGATACCCTACTCTAGTGCAACCATGTATAAAATTGTCGCTCATAGTTCAAAACTTCAGCAACCATTTGTAAAGTAGTTGCTGATACATGACTCTCTAGCAACAATGAAGTAAATGGTTGACTCTAGATCATAACTTCAACAACTATCAAGAAAATGGTTGGTGATATTCTACCTGTGAGCAACCATGAATTAAATATATGCTAATAGACCAAAGCATCATCAACCATTTTAGAATGATTGGTAATACGCATCTCTTGAGCAATCTTAGTAAAATGGTTTGTAGATTCTTTTAAATTTAAGTAATAATGTATTAAGGATGTAAAGGAACAAATTAAGTTGGGTAGTTGTTGATATCCCGCTAAAAGCAACTATATAGTTATACTGCGAAAAGTTCTTGACAAGTCTGAAGTCTTGACTAAAGGGTTCCAGACCCTCTTAGTTAGAATGTCTGATGGATGACTAATCTTCACCCGAATTAAGCTAGCCAAGGCATTAACACACGAAACTTCCTCTACTGGATTTCAATTCCAGTATAGAGTAGTGAATCGACTTTTCGACTAAAGCAATCAATTCACTAGTTCCAATTAAGGTTGCTCTTTTAACCTATACAGATTTTATCGTGTACAAAAATTTTATCAGGACTCATGCAATTTTGAATAATGCCTTAATTTAGTATAAGATAGTCAATCATCCATGAAAATGGTTTCATACAATAATTACAAACATACAAGACCAGTGTTCTTCATACCCATATGAGAGGGGAGATTACTCCAAGGAGAAAAGGGAAAACACAAAACTGAAAGTAGAAATCATCGTGTGAAAGATAGAATTCTTCTCCAGGTGATGAATCGACACTCTAAGGGTAAAGGATCGAGCTCCAATGCTCTTAGACTACTCCAATCACTTCCCAAGATTGTTCTTCGTCACTCTCTCTCTCTAGTACTCTCTTTTGCTATTTCAAAACTTTGAAAATCAAACACCTTCTCCAAAACCCGAATTCAGCTTACATATGTCGCAAAATGGCCTTCCACGGTCACATTCCCTAGTCGACGAATCAAATTGTAGTGAGCGGGGATCTTCAAAACGCATCGGGTCACTTGACTCGCCAAGGGGGAAATCGCAGGTCAGGTCCTCATGTTCCCGATCGGGGAATTTAGACACACTGACCAGGAGGTCTTCTGATCACCTTCCTCGGTCGCCTGCTGAGGATCCCTGATCGGGGAATTTAAACACACTGACCAGGAGGCCTTCTGATCACCTTCCTCGATCGCTTGCTGAGGATCCGCGGTCGGGGAATTGATGGCCTGACTGGGGATTTTGACTCTCCATCTCCCAAATCTCATCTGATCTCCGTTTTAACTCTAAACTCACTCCTAAGACTTCATATTCGATCAAGGTCCTGAAATACGACGTAAAAGCACAACCTAGCGTGAAATTGGCTTAAAATGCGAGTATCGATCCTCAAACACTCTAAAAATGGTGGAAAAAGCATGTGCAAATATCAAGTTATCACGTTTACAGCATAAAGTCTGAAATAAGTTAGGAATCTCTACTAAAGCATACTAAACCCTCTTGAATAGACTACCTTGAGGAAGATTATCCTCAGTCGCAATAAAATACTAAGGCAATGCATCAAAACTCACACTACTTGACTGGAATCCAGTATCGAGAAATGAACTGATTCACTATTCGTACAATCGATTCACTACCACCAATTGAAGGCACTCCAACCTAATCATGTATTCCCTCTCCTAGGTCAAAGCATTAATTGAAGAATGTGATCATGACTCAAACAATTTCACGAACAAAACTTCAATTGGATAGTAGTATCAAGCTTTAGAAACCAAAGATCAATAACATTCAATCCTAACACATGGAACTAGGGTTCCTCACACCTCAGTGAAAGAGTGGATTACTCCTCGCGTAGCCTCCTCCATGAAAGGCATTCCAGCAAATATTTTATCCAAGCTCGTTCCTGGTCCATGAAGTGACCGAGACAGGAAAAAAGTGTAGAAAGAAGTCATTTCCATGTGGATGATGATTTTCTCCAAAATGTCGGTCTTCACTTCGAGGAATGAAACTCGAACTCCAATGGTGGAAGGTTGCTCAAAATCAGCTCCAAGGGTGCTCTCTTTGTCCTTTCTCTCTGTAAAACTCTCTAAACTCATTTTCTTATGTCCAAAGGAGGACCCCTTTCAAAATGGCAGATGAACTCTTTTTATAGTGTCGAGAAAGCAAGTCATGACCTATCTCACAACTATGACTCAGGTCGTGAGATGCAAAACTCCCCGTATAAACTAATTAGTCAAACTCCCCTTCAAACCACGATTTTGGATGTCACAACCTATCTCACGGCTTATGTCACGGGCATGACATAGGTCGTGAGACAAGCCATGAAACTCACTAAGCTACCTAGGAAAAATGGGCATCTCACGACTTTGGAAGAAATCTCATGGCTTAGGCGGTAAGATGGCCTCTTGCTCCACTTCTTGGCATGTTTTGATACCCGAGCATCCTAAAACTCGCTCCTAACCTCTCTCCACGTACTAGAACATGAAATATAACAAAAGGAACATAACGTGAAATAAGCCACGAAACTACCAAATCTAGTCAAACGATCAAGGCATGAGGATCCAAACATGTATAAATATGCCATTATCATATGATAACATAAATAATTAAGGGCATTTTGGTAATTGCTGCTCATAAGAGTAATTACCGTCTCCGTAAAAAATAGGTCAAAACCCCCCTCCTCCCCATTTCCCTCAAAATTGATTAATTCCTCTCCCTCGTCGTAATAACCGTAGTAATCAGCCTACCACGCCCTTGCTGCCATGCGGCTGCCATTGAAACCTTCAATTGTAATTTTTTTTTTTTTTTTGCCTCCGTCTTATTTATAGTTCAATCCAACATAAAACTTGGTTCCGCCGTGACTCACAATCTAAAACATCGCTCCATTGGCAACACTGCTCCTCCGCACCTACATTGTAGTTTACGGGAGAGTAGAAGTTCCCACAAAGTCCAAATTGAGCGAGCTCTGGTGGCTGCGAAGAAGGGGAACGACGAAGAGAATCCGGGCGGTGGTGGGTAGGAATGGCAATGGGGCAGGTCCGGGGCGGGTTTCTTGGTATCCAGACCCGCCCGTGGCAGGTCGGGTCCAGGTCGGGTAATTTATCACAGGTCGCAGGTTGTGGCAGGTCGACCCAATGGGTATGCAGTTTATATGAAAAACATTAGAAATATTCGTTATTTTATTATAAGACCAAGAAAACAAACAATATTACGATAAAATGTAGTTAAATTATTAGAGAAATTGAGGTTTTCACTAATTTACAACTTTATTATAGCTAAATTATGATGCAATAAAAGAAAAATCCTAAGTAATTTGACTAAGGTTACATGTAATTTAGGCAAAAATGGGTCGAGAATTGGGCAGGTCAGGTCGATAAGAGTACCCATGCCCGCTCGGACTTCTATGGGGCGGGTCAGACCCGTCCCAAAACAGATCAAACAGGTCGGGTAAAACGGGTCGGCTCGAAATTGTCCTAGGTGTGGTGAACCAGACCTTTAGCTAGTTGCCAAAAAAAAAAAAAACTTGATTACTTTACCATTGGGTAAATGACATATATATTGTCTTTTTTTTAAAAAATTACCACCAATAACCGGTTTAAAAACTATTGACACATATATTGTGTTTTTTTGGTAGGTTAAAAGCGATCACGCACGAGACTCAGGCGCGGCCGCTAGGTATTGGTTTTTCAATAAAATCCAGCGGCGGCGCCCGAGACTGGGGCGTTGGCGCGTGATATAAAGCAACAGCGGCGACGCCCCAGACTGAGGCGTGGTCGCTGCCTTCTTCTTCCACTCCAGCATCATATATACTCCACCTTTCCTTTGGTTCTTCACCACCAAAAAACTGAAAGAAGTTCCGAAAGAAGCTCTGGTGTTGTTGTCTGGTTGCTGGGAAGATGGATAATAATAGGTAAGAGAAGTATTTATTTTTGTAATGTATTCTTCAAATGCTATAATCATTTTGTCAAGTTAGTAATTAGTGAGTTTGCCTTTTATGTATTGGTTTTAGAAGATTTGAACTAGATGTTCGGTGGAAATCAGAGAAAGTAAAGGACAATTTGGGTGTCCCATTTTGTTGGTGGTCTAAGTTTTCAGATGATTATTCCATCCATGGTGAACTATCAGAAACTTTGTGATAATCTAATTCGGAGAATACGGCGTAGAGACGAAGCAGTACAAGATAGTGTTGTGATTACATGTTTCACTTACTGTATTCCAGAATGGCAGAATGGTGTTTTATTTCATTATGCGATGCCTATTGTCGATGATGATAGCTTGAATGTACTTTGGAATTTTATGGCACAAAACCCTTATTGTTTGGGGGCTGAGATACATGCTGAGCTCAGTGAGGATCGGGGTGGAGAGGAAGAAGATGATACATGGAGCATGCTATCCGATCATAACTATGATGACAGTGATGACGGGGAGGAGGAAGATGATGATGAGGAGGAGGAGAATCTAATTATCCTCCATATTTGTACTTTCAGGGTAGTGAAGAGGACGAAGAATTATCATATGCCGATTCATATGGCGTAATTTCAATGCCTATTGTTGGTGGTTTTGATGGAGAATTCTACAAGGGGCAGATATTTCACTCGAAACAAGCTGCACAAGTGGCGATTAAACACTACAACGCAACTTTCAGTATAACGTGGTGGAGTTTTCACCTTCAATCTGGAAGATCAGATGTTTGAAGCACAAGGAGGACAACTGTTCTTGGATGGTGCGGTTTGGATGTCGAGATGTGGGAGGCGATTGGACTGTGAGAACGGCCGAGTTGGTGCATACTTGTAGCAGTACGACTCAACCGACGGATCATCACCATCTTGATGTCGATGTTATATCTTAGTCCGTTAAACACTTGGTACGTGCCCAACCAAATCTGAGTGTTCTAACTGTGCAGGCCGAGTTGAAAGATAAGTTTAATACGCAAGTTACTTACAAAAAGGCTTGGTATGGGAAACAAAGAGCATTGGAGAAGTTGCATGGGAATTGGGAAAAATCCTACGATTATATGCAAACATTCTTGCGGGTGGTAAAGAGAAAAATGACAACATCGGTGATTGATTGGGTAAGAGTTCCTTCAGCTCAACCAGGTCATTCGATATTTCAGCGAGTATTCTGGGCTTATGGACCTTGTATAGATGGATTCAAGAATTGTCCAGTTATCATGGTTGTTGATGGAACATTTCTTATTGGGAAGTATAAAGGAGTGCTACTCATGGCGAGCTCATTTGATGGTCGGAAGAAGATTTTTCCAATTGCATTTGCCATAGTGGAGAGCGAGAATACTGATAGTTGGCCATGGTTCATAAGTCACGTTCAGGGTTTGACTGATCGAAATGATATCTGCATCATCTCAGATAGACATGCGGGACTCTATGAAGTCGTGAATAACATCGGAAGAGGTTGGGAGTGGAGGTGATGCATGCGACACTATGCAAGCAATTTGCAAACTGCTCTGTAGTCTCTGGTGATGCAGAAAGAGGTAGCTCATCGAAAGTCTCCCTAAGCCAAGAAATCTTAATGACGCCGCCGCCAAGATCAGTAGGAGCTCGTCCTAACATTCGAAGACACATAGCCGACCAGTCCTCGTCTGATATGTCTACTATGACGACATCACCGTCGATCGCTAGACCAGTCAGTGTCGCAACGTCCTCTAGGGTGATCGTCTCACCGAACGGCATGTGGAAGGTCGATGTCTCGGGTCGCCAACGCTCTACGAGCGTAGTAACCAAACTCGGATCACCGATAAGAGGGGCTAATGGCAGAACCGTAGACAAGCCCGCATCGACGAGATACAGCTGGTAAAGTGGATGGTATGTCACTAAATTGCTCGTACCACGAATGTGGTAAGGTCGATCACCAGCCTATAATGCACAAAACTTATATTAATTCAATTCACCAAATATTTATATTTATATATCTAATCTAATCTAAACTTATTCTAATTCTATTCGTAATTTAATTCTATTCTATTCTATTCTAATTTCAGTTAAGTTCAGCTAATTAAAAAACTATACAAATAGTTTGAAAACTTACCTCATTTGCCCAAACTGCGTCAATACGATGGTGACCATGCCCCCAAAGAAGTACCGGATCCACCACGTCAGGCAAGGCCAACGATAGACCGGAGCGCGTGCAGGTGCAGGTTAATCTCTTCATCTTCGCCAACAGCGTTCCCGCTGCATCGAAAATAGGAACGTGTTCGGAGCTGTATCAATTTTCGCAGGCGGTGGTCTCATCGAACAAGGGTCCATAAGCCTAGAAACTGAAAAAACAATTAATTAGAACATAAAAAAATTGGAAAAAATTTGTCGCCGGCGGCGAGAATCTGGCCACCGCCGGCGAAAAACTTACCCTTGTAGCGGTCGCCGCCACGACGCTGACCTCGTCGCCCTCTGCCCCTTCCTCTGCTGGGGACGACTTGCTCGTCGTCGGACATGGCCGGAGAAGAAAACCATATATGCACGGGGAAGAAGAAAGCGACGGCACTCTGGGCAAGGCGCCTTCGTCGGCAACCTGGCGCGGCCGCCTGAGACTGAGGCATGGCCTCCCTTCTCTCGGCTCTACCGTCGCTGTTGGCGTGGGGGTGGGTTGGATGGGGGTGAGGGTTGCTGCGGGGGTGTGTGGCTGTGTCGGGCGAGAGTGAGTGAGGAAGAAGATAAGAAGAAAAAAACGAAGGGAGCGACAATGCCTGAGTCTCGGACGGACGCACTATTCTCCTCCCTTTAAAACACAATGTTCTTGTAATTATTTTTTAATTCACTATATTCATGATAAATAAAAAAAATAAAACAATATTTAGGGAATTAACCCATGAGTCCTTGGCTTGTCGACGTGTAGTTCTCCCTATTCGCTAAAATGCAATTTACGAAGAAGGCGCGCATTAATATTTAGGTGATTCATTTTGTTTGTGACCAGAAAAAAAATGAATAAATAAATAAAGAGATTGAGAAAAAATAGAAAGAAAGTTCAGGATAACCTGTTCTGGTTCAGACTCTTTGGCATTCTCCACTTGCCCAACCTTTTCTCCTATCTCCACCACTTCCTTCCAACTCCCTCCCTCATGCGTACGTGAAGCTCCACCAGAAGAAGTTTCAGCAATCTCCAATTCCATGGCGAAGACCCTAATTTCGTCTCCGACTTTCCTCGGAACGCCACTTCCCGCCCGCTCTCGCCGCCATGGACTCCTCCACTCGCTTCCCAGCCGTCGATTCATCTCCACAACAGTAAAGATGAGCCTGCACGACATCCCTCCGGTTCATCTCCCTCTTTCTCATGTTGATTTCAGCTCCATTCTCACCAGAGCCGAGAGCGTTCTGTACACGCTTGCCGATGCCGCGGTGGCAGTTGACGCCGGCGCTGCTTCCAGCTCGACTGATGCTGCTGCCGTTCAGAAGAGCGGCGGTTGGTTCGGGTTTATCTCCGACGCTATGGAATTCGTGCTCAAGGTTAGTCGGGAGTAGTAAGCAAGCTAGCTATAAGATATTTCGTTTCCGTGGTTTATTGTTTTGTTCTTATTTTGTGATTTCCAATTAGAGGAAGCGGGATATAGTGTTATATTGTGGGATTCGACCGAAATTGAATGGAGTCTGTTTAATTTTTCCTCAGATAATGAAGGGAGGGCTTGAGGCCGTCCATGTACCTTACGCATACGGCTTTGCCATTATATTGTTGACGGTTGTTGTGAAATTGGCGACACTCCCTTTGACAAAGCAGCAGGTGAGTTTTGCAGTTGCCATCGTTTCTCTTCCGAGGCTACAGAATTGCAGAGGTAGTAGCAATAGGTCGTGACGCTTTTTGTGGGTTATAGGTGGAATCTACCCTCGCAATGCAAAATCTTCAACCGAAGATAAAAGCGATCCAACAAAGATATGCCGGCAATCAGGTGAGAGGCATTCTCTGTTGAATCCTTTCTCATTCACAGAGTTTGACTTGTCAAATGTAAATTGGTCTTTTCTATGGTGTTTTATGATGTAGGAAAGAATACAGCTTGAGACATCACGTTTATACAGGCAAGCTGGGGTTAATCCGTTAGCAGGTACTGACCGTCAGTTAAATTCTTTCTGTTACTGGACTAGTTTGTTTGTGTTTCCGAACTAGTCAATGAGAATCATGAACTAGAACATGCAGCTCATTGAAATTGACAAGGGAACTTCCTGTTGAACTTATACCAACCATATGCATTTCATATCCCATTTATGAGGGCTTTGTTTCTTCACTACTGTTTCAGAATCTCAGCTTTCGTCTTCCCTTCCCTTTTTCAACTAATTTCTACTACTTTTAATCGCACATGATGTGCATAAGGGCCAATACATGAGGAAATAAGTGTCTGTCTATGTTGTTAAATGGTGTTCTGGAGGAGTTTACTTCTAAATTTGTGGAATATATGATGATTTTGGTATGCTCCAAGGTTCTGATAGCCGAAATATCTCTTTCAGGCTGTCTTCCTACTTTGGCTACAATTCCAGTGTGGATAGGTCTGTATCAAGCTCTTTCAAATGTTGCAAATGAGGTACGAAAGGATAGGATAATTTCCCATGCTCTTGAAATATAGCATTACTGTATCTTATTATCTATCCTGGATCCTTGATTAACCAATTCTTACTGATAATTACTTTCAATGAAGGGATTGTTGACAGAAGGGTTCCTATGGATTCCTTCTTTAGGTGGGCCTACTACAATTGCAGCTAGACAAAGTGGATCTGGAATTTCTTGGCTCTTCCCATTTGTGGTAATGTAACCTTGTGTTGATGGATATTCATGTGCTATGCGCCAGTACAATAACCGTTTGTTATATTTTCTTGCAATTGATTTTTTTTTTCGGACCAAGATAATGTGAACGAATAGTTCTCTTGGTCTTCAAAATTATCTGATGGTGTTTATTGCATGCTTGATTCACAGAATCCTTAGGTAAAATCTATTATAAATTTATAATACATCCACAATTTTGCCATTATTGATGACAATATGTAGATTATGCAGGTTGGGTCTAAAGGGTCAGACATTCATGCACTAGTCATGTAGTAGTGCTTGAGATAATATTTACATTATGCAGTTAGCAGGTCCCTCACTGGCAGTCATGCCTCCACCAATCGTATCGAAGTGATTAAAATTATATGCTAATCATGCAGGATGGACATCCACCATTGGGCTGGCAAGATACTGCAGCATACTTGGTTTTGCCTGTATTGCTTATTCTATCCCAGTATGTCTCAATGGAGATCATGAAGCCTCCCCAGGTAGCATATCTCTGTGACAGCCGCATATTTGATGGGGACATAATCAGAATGCCTGTAATTTTTCTCATTGATTTTGACAGACAGATGATCCTGCCCAAAAGAACACGCTTCTGGTCTTCAAATTCCTTCCTCTGATGATTGGATACTTTTCCTTGTCTGTGCCATCGGGCTTAACAATCTATTGGTTCGTTTCTTATCAACAATGGAACTGTTTGATATATGAGTTCTGCTATTTATGTGGCCATTTTTGTGCTTTATCTGTTTCACTTACCTCTGCCTCACATGAATCCTGGTTTTAGCAGTTAGAATTTCCAGCTTTGACTCTGATTGTTTGCAACTGAGGAACTTTTGCCTTGCTGTTTTACTCTTCAATTTTGTATTAGTAACTATTATCCATTAACAAATTGTGGTTCTGCCTGAATTTTGGGCGTAGGGCTGGTAGTCTAGGTAGCTTGCTATTCAGCCTCTCGCATGAATATTCACAAACCACTAAATAGCAATAACAATAACAATGCCCACCTCTCAAGAATGTCTCAGGTTCTTGGTTTCGTAGCAGCTTAAGTTTCTGTGTAGCAAGACTGACCATCTTTCTCTGAAAGTCAAATTGATACAACAAAGAGCATTTGAAACCCACCTTCTAAGTTTTGACGAACATAGTTATGTGTCTTTTCTATTGAAGTCGAATTCGTATTTCCAAGTGCTGTTTTAAGAAACAATGTAGGATTTCCCACACTCATGCAGTAGTAATAGTTATGTGATGATGCTTTGTGACATCACCTTCTTGTTAAATGCTACGTACTCTGTTAGTTTATTCGCTGTACCTTAGTGTTTCTTACATTTTTTGGGTGGATGAATTTCTAAACATGTCCTCCGTTCTGTTAGGTTCACGAACAATGTTCTTAGCACAGCCCAACAGGTATGGTTGCGCCAGTTGGGTGGTGCAAAGCCAGCTGTCAATGCAGATGCCAGTGGAATCATCACTGCAGGACGTGCAAAACGATCAGTTGCACAGCCAGCAGGGCCTGGTGAGAGGTATGTTCTCTGCTTCTATGTATTTACTCTATGGATCCTCTTCGGGATCTAAGAAACAAAAGCTTCGGATTGACAGGTTCAAGCAGCTGAAGAATGAGGAGAAGAAAAAGTTGGGTAAGGCTCTAGCATCAGATGATAGCCAGACTCTGGATTCTGCATCTGGTTCAGAAGAAGACTCGGACGATGAAACTAAGGACAAGGTGAATTTTAAACTTCAGCTAATGTCCCCCCTATGAACTTTATGATTATACTTCCTTTTTATCTGAATTCTTGTAAATATAAAATTTGAAAATTATTGGCCTCTGGTAAAGGTTAGAAAATAAGGTTCTGTACTCTGCAGCACAATGTCGTTAGTTTGTGGGTTCCAACATTGAGTTGCTGAGCGACTCTTGAATGGCGAGAAGCTGAGTCGCCTAGCCTTAACGTGTGTGTCCATGACTGATGGTGAACAGGTGTTACTTGATTATGTTATGGATGTTCAGAATCTCTGAGAGTTCAAAGACAAGTTGTTAGGAGAAACCAAGACATTTTAATAGGGTTCATGAAAATGGAGAAAACTCAGCCTCAACTTCTCTCGATTGTATAGCAAATTTGCCATACCTTTGTCATAGGGAACTTGGTATTCCCTGACATACGGCATGATCATTGTGGTTTAGCGAGAATCTAGTAGAGTGAATTAATACATGAAAAGTGTAGAGAATGTAACTTAATGGACTCTCTGTCTCTGGGTAACGTCTTTCAGTTAGAACAACAAAACTATGCTCTTCAGAGATCCTACCATGATTTTTCTTGGATTACTAATAAACAGTTCTATTTATATGAACCAGCCTATTACATATTTTTAATACCAGAAATATTTTCAACTCTTTGGCAGGGTGAGGAGGTGCTAGAAGAAGCATATGCTTCTAGTGTAGGTAACCAGGTGCCTGATGTTTCACAGCCAAAGAGAAGCAAACGGTCAAAAAGAAAGCGTACTGTTTAAGAAAGATTTAGTTATACCAAGATGATTGTAATGTTTGGTGAGTTCTGTATATCTCAACACAGTTAATTACCAGTTATATAGTGCCATTTTTATGCTGCATCATTCAGTATAACTGTGAATGTTTGAAACTAGGCAGAACCTGTTGGGTCTCTCTTCCTTATGATATTATGATGTAGCATTGCTATGTTATTGCATATAGTTTATATCTTCCAATATTGATTTTTGAAGTAGTTAAAAGGAGGAATCAGCCAGTTGGCAGCAAAGCTGCTACTTGCTTTGATCACATCATGTTGTTTACTGAGATATTCAAGGGATATTTTAAAATAAGAAACCGGTTTATTGCAGCTAACACAGTTACACAGTGTTTCTTGGCAGTAAGGCCTTTAAGGATTCTAGTGCCTTCTTGCTTGTTCCCCTGTACTTGCTTTCTCCATTTATCTTAGCCTTCCATTAGGACTTGATGTTTATTCACTCATTATATATTCTCCATGTAATAACAATGTGTTCCGGTCCCTGAACCTACATGATTAGGGTAAACTGATTCAGCTATTTGAAAGTAGTCTAGGAAGCAAACTCATTTATGAGTTCTACTTACTTCTCTAGTATGTTTCAACCAACAATCTGGAGCTCAAAATTACTTCCTTTGAGGAAGGACATTGAAGCCCACTCATGCTTTGACCCCCAACGAATTCCATTTGTGTTACACCAAATGAAAAACAAGGATTTATGCTGTTTAGACAGGCCTACATTTTATACATACTTGCTCTGGCATTGACGTTTCCAATAAATTCCACTAATATACAGGCACAAAACCTAGGCATCAGGACTTGCTGTCTAATGAATCCATCATCTTACACTCTACCTTACAAGAATAGATGCTATGTTTACTTGCTAGGAGAGTGCAACCAGTGATCTATTGCTTTGTGGTTGGACTGTGATTGCCAACTGGGTTAGGCCCGGATGGAGCTTTCCGAACCCTCTTTTCTCCAACCTGGTTTGTGCCATCAGAGATATGTTAGTAAAACTTGTCTGAACATTTATGTGACTTGAGTGTGGTGACTGGATGGCTTACCCTATGCTGTGAGGCTTCCCTTTGCAATCTGGAGCTGGATTGTGCAGGCTTGACTCTAAAGGGGGCTGTGATACAAGATGCAGCACATGAGTAATAGTTAGTACATGTGAGGTGATTTTTGTAGTTAAGTTTTGTATTGTCTGGTGACACAGAAGGTGAGGCGATTTTCAGATGAAGCATTTTGCCAGATTTGGCAAGAAAAGAGTGAGAAAGGATGAAGGGGCTTGCCTGAACCAGTAGCTTGAACCTTGGCAGTGGCGAAGAGACCATGTTGTAAAGCAATGACCAGGAGGCATGGTAAGAGCAGGAATTTGAGAATCTTGCTGCTCATGTTTGAGCCTGAGATGGTGTAAGTTCTGCAATTGAACTGAGAACCTATATATCAAAGCTAGCTTGCAGAAGAATGCAATATGTTGTAGGCACCGTTTTTATCTTAAATTTTTTGGGTAATCATAGCAAAACTTGAATATAATGCATAGAATGTTTTGCTAAAAGTGTGCTTGGGAATCCTATGCTTTTATTATTACATGCTGGAGGGCTGAGATTCAAATCTGGATTTGTCTTCATTGTGGGTTGACCTTTACTCAAGTCATAATTACAAGGGTTATCATTCCTTCCATGATTTTAGTTGGGAAAGTACTTGCCCTATTATTTGCTTTTGAATGCTTGAGCCTCTTGGCATGATTGAAGCCAAGGGACCACCTAATTGCATATTTGGCTATCTGACTGAGTCCCTTATCAGAAATGCGGTGTTGTTGTTGTTCTTTTCTGTGCCTGTCGCCGCTGTCGGCTCACTCCACCAAAGTTTTACCTGGACATTATCATGAGCCCTCCAGAAAAAATATGCAGGAGCATGAGGAAGTGAACAGAGAGATTTGTTGGTCTAATCTAACCCACTGCCCCATTTCAGATCTGTAATGCTTGTACACTACTATTCATAATTTCATATGCTTGCTCTCTCTCTCTCTCTCACTCTCTCTCTCTCATTATATGATTGCTCATTTCTGTAACATGTCGATGAGTTTAACAGTGATGAAAGAGCAGTGATTGGTGCAGTCCGAAGCTGTGACAGTTGGCAAAGGTTAGTCAGTCCTTCAACATGTGCATCTCATCCCATCCTTAGCTTGTGATATCTATTATTGCTTTTCAGAAGATTGCATCAGTTAAACCATGATTGTAAAATCGTATTGAATTGTACGGAAAAAGTTAGTGGTAAGAGTATTTTGTGATAAAATCATGGTTCATTCGTTTCATACTGTTAAAGCCCGCCTATCGGTGCAAATTTCCGGTCAGACTGGATTTGCAAACAAGGGAATTACATGATCTAACATGTCTTTCAGGTATCCTAACTACTTACTAGTTAGCATGTATTTTTTTGTTTTGTCGATCGACTTGATTAGGTTAGTCAAAGATTCCGTGGTGGAATACATATCTTGTAGTTGGCACATGTATATAGTTGACAGATATGTGGAATATTTGGATTCTTTTCCGCTATATAATCTCACGTAGCATGAAACATGTGTCTATTGGAATAATTTTACCCATCAGAGGAGATTTGGCGTGTGGAAAGTAGAGAGAATGTATAGAGCGGGTAGACTAGTAGGAGGATCAGCAAATGTGTGGGAGAATAAAGAATTATTTTTCCTTTTAGTGTGTTTGGGCTTTTACTGAGTTTTGGTGCTCCGCATGGTAGGTTTGGGCTCAGAGATTTTGGGTGGCCCTTAATGTGCATTGTTCATATTCGCATTCACATCTCCAACAATTTCGAGCACTTCTACTATGCTATAAAGTATTGGTGCTTTAATGTACAATTTAAAGTTGTACCATAATGTTAAATGTATAAGTTAAGGTTGCATCATAAAAAAAATTGTACCCTTATGTTATAATACAACTTTATACTTAAAGTTGCACCATCACATAAATGTACAAATTTAAGTTGTACCATAAAAAAAATTTGTACAAAATAGTATAAGTACAATATAAAGTTGACCATAAAAGCAAAAAGCTATAGCACCAATGCTATATAGCATTGTAAAATTCCTCAACAATTTCCCCTTTTTTTTGTTTCTTTTCTTTTCTTCTTACAATGACCTGATTGTTACAAGTTTAGATAAGCATAAGGCACAATATAAGTGTCGACCCTTAGCACCAATGCTATATAGCATTCTAAAATTCCTCAAACAATTTCCCTTCTTTTTTTGTTTCTTTTCTTTTCTTCTTACAATCACCTGATTGTTACAAGTTTAGATAGGCATAAGGCCCAATATGAGTATCGGCCCTTATTAAATCCACAAGATACACTTGGGCCTTCCTATCCAAACCACAGTTTCATTCCACTTATTAGTTTGGGCCAATACTACGGTGCCGCTCTAAAAACTGCGGCACTGGTGACGCTACATTTGATTGGGCCACGTGGAGCTTATGTGGCAGTCATTTAATTGATTTAAGCCAAAACCAAAACCCATGAGTATACTACTAACCATAACCAACCCGTCCCTCACTCACATTCAAACGGAGACTCCTTCTCCGTCAACCCAAACGATTCCTCCTTTTTTTTGCCAAACTATCTTTATTTTTATTGATTAAAAATGTAATTATTTTGTTACTTTGTTTAGCGGAAGATTCAGAAAACAGAAAAACAAGGGATGATGACCGACGAACCAGAAGGGAGTTTATCGATCTCCTTCTCCTGAATCTCTCCAAAATCACTCCGGTGACTTGTTCATGGCCGATCCCATCTCCAAAACACTCCGGCGACTTGTTCAGAGGCGAAGAAATCTATATCTTCGTAGGCCTCTGACACCATCGAAAAGTGCCTACGCCAAAAGCCAAACGAGTCCAGGTCAGAGAAGTGAGAGACGCTTCCTTCACCGGCGGTTGCTCCCAAATCATTCCAACATTAAACTTTTTCCCACTAAGCAGAAACTAATGAGAACCCTAAATGGGAATTGAACCCTACTCCTAATGTTTGATGTACGGATGCAAAATTCTCCAAATCCTATCGTGATAACATACAATGAGATAGAACCTTGGACTGGGCAATACGACTCCATCAAGAAACGAACAGATAAAAAGATGCTGAAGAGGATCTCGGATCGAAGACCTCGATTAGGGTCAAAATGAGGGGAAGATGAGATTTCGATGACGACGGAGCAGGTGACGGATCTTAGTGGAGTTGAATCGGGTAGGCTGTTCCAGAAATTGCATCGGCATCGGCGGTTTTCGATTTTGACACAGGCGGCGCAGATACATGTTCCTTCGCCTCCGATCTGGAATCGAAGGGTAACGTTGACCCTGGAGATGAGATCGACCAAGAACAAGTGACGCTATTGATTCTGCAGTGACCGCCGCGGTCCTCCCCTTCTCTCACTTGGCACCGTCTGGAGTGACCGCCGGTGGAGTTTGCGGAACTACCTTCGGGTTCCTTCCGCCGTCGACCTCTGTTTTCTGGAGCTTCCAAAAAATAACCTAATTAAAACATTTTGGCGTTTGGGTTGGACGAAGAAGGGTCTCCGTTAGTGTGGGCAATGCGGTTTGGTTCTAGTACTCAGCACTCACAGACTTTGGGCCTGGGTCAATGAAAGCCAACTCATGCCACATAACCTCCACGTGGCCCAATCATATTTAGCGTCACCGGTGCCGCAGTTTTTGGAGCGGCACCGTAGTATCGGCCATTAGTTTGTCTGTATGCCAAGACATGGCCTGGGACTTGGGAGTTCGTAGTTCTTGGGGCAAAGCCCATCTTGAGCTTTCCCATTCCATCTCAAATTACCCCTCCCATGCATACAAGAACAATGTTCCATAATATTCTATAAATTTTTGGTGTATATTGCACATCGTAATTTTGTATGTTTTAAATAAGGATTAGTTCAAACATAATAATTCTTATCATTTATATTTATGAGTGATCGTCAAATAGTCTCAAACTATATGCAAAAAATAATACTCATCTTAAAAACTACCTAAATAATTAAATAGAACTCACCTGCCGGGAACAAAGTTAGTATATATAAATAGCTTTCCTACGGAACGTGCGTGTAAAGGAAAAAGAAGTAAAAGTAAATTGAAATGGCAAAAGAGTAAAAAAAATCCGAAAATGGAGGAAATGAAGGGAAGAGGGACGGTTTTTTTGTTGTTTAATATTTTTTTTTTTGCCTGAAAAATGATTTGATTGGTGAATAATGTACGCTGACATGGACGCGTGAGGGAAGGAGAAATTCGAAACTGAGAAGTCTTTTTTGGGAAAAAAACGTTTATAGTATTCTTTAGATTCCTTCCTTACCCAAGAAGACAGCATATGAATTTAGCTTATCCTCAGATCTCCAACGAAGGAAAGGGGAGGGGAGGGGAATAGTGGGGGGAAAGGAAAACACACTTCCCCATAACTTTTCCCCTGTTCTTGAATGGATGTACAAGAAGGAAGGGATGGAAAAGACACAATATAGCTCTATCCTCCAATTTGGAGAGAAAAGGTGGGTGAAAAAGTTAAATTACTCATAAGGTAAGTTGTGAGTAGATACTTACAGAGACAGAGAAAAGGGTAAAGAAAAAAAAAAGTGATGACCCATTAAATTTCCAACCACCTTTAACTAACTCTCTTTATCTCTCTCATTTCTTTTTTTGTAATGGATATTGGTCAGTAATAGATTGTTTTTTTATGTAGTGATATTAGTATGTGATGATAGGATATAAAGATGTTCATGCGATGGATATTAGTTTGCGAAGTAATGGATATTGTGTCTTCCATCAAAACTAAACACACTATCAAATCCTAACGCATAAGGCTTGCAACCTTAGTTAGGGTTGTCCGCGCGAGGGCCCAGGGGCCTTCGGCCCATGAAACAATAATATTTTTTTGCAATGAATGGATATTAGTTTAGGTGGTTCGGATATGTGTAGTTGGTATTGGTCTGCAATGGTTAGATATTAATCTGTTCGTCGTGGGTATTTGTCTGCGATGGTCAGATATTAATCTGTTCGTCGTGGGTATTTGTCTGCGATTGTCAGATATTAGTATGTGTGAGGTGTGTATTAGTCTCCATGATGAGGATATTAATTATGGGCTGACTAGATATTGGTCTTAGAGGATATTTGCTATGGTGAACGAATATTATTCTGGGTGGTTTGGATATTTGTTTTGTGTGGATGTATTATTTTGACGAAGTGATGGAAAAAGAGGAGGAGACTCGCATATGATTTTTTTTTAATTTGTGGGCCCCCTTTTTTCTGTAGCTGGATAGTGAGAATGGGCCTGGCTTTTTTTAATTTCTGAACCCTCTTTTCTCTGTTTCTGTAAGTATCTACACATAATATAATACGCCGAAGGGAAAAACGGGAGCTCCATTTCAAATTTCCTGCAACGAGAGTGAAAGTAGGAAGGACATTTTGGTCTTCACAATTACTTTTTTTTATTCATTAAAAAGACACGTACTGGGATTTGAACCATGACCATTTTAAAGAAAAGCAAGGATAATAACCAATCACACTAAGCACATTTGTTGTATCTTTTTAAATTAAAAACATATAATAGCAGGGAGGAAAAAACTCTTCCCCCATTTCAAATTCCCTGCTCCATGAGTGTTTGTAGGAAGGGTAGAATAGGAAGTGTCAATTTTTTTCTCTTTCCTCTGTGGAACGGGCCAACTTACCGTACACATGCGAATTTAAACGGGTCCAGGAGTGTCAATTTTTTTTCTTTAAACCCTTTTATTTCTCCGTGGTGATAAAATATATATGAAAAGGAAAAACTAATACTCCTTTTTATTGTTAAAAATAAAAAATTTAACAATAAACTAATGCATGGTATCTAATGGGCTAACCGCTAACCATAAAATAAAAGAGTTGAATGGGCCTGACCTACATGGGATTTGGCCATCAAGTAAAACAAATGAACATCATTGGTTTGTCATTCTAAAACAAGCTATTTTCTATTATGCTATTATTTTATATCTTAGTGGCTAAAATATAATGTATTTTAAAGTTATTCAATGGTTCAACCTCGACCAACACAATTAGTCCAATTTTTATCATTTCAAATATATATTTTATAATTATTTGATATCACAATGATCAAATTATAGTGTATTTTATAGGGAATCGTTTGGTATTTGTTAGTAAAAAACTAAACATAACGATCTATTTGGTTATTTTAAACATTATAACGATCCTAAACATTTTCAGTTCCTTTTGAATTTCCATGGTTTTAATCTCGATTAAGTGATGTGCAAATGGCGAATTGTAGTCGTCTCTTTTCTTTCACTATTTTTTTTATTTTCAAATAGAAAGTTTAAAAGTAAAGAATAATTAGAATTTGGCATGGGTCGATCGAACAGGCTGAATTTCAAGTTTTGGCCCGTTTGTTTTATGCATTGCAAATTTATTAGCATGTTGATGGAAATGGCTTGGAAAAAAGACATATAAGTTGTACCTTTGCAGAAATGTCCTCAAATGTTTGAATGCTTTGTGAATCAGGTTCCGTGACTTTTGTGATGGTGTATGTGCGTGACGATTGCTCTTTTGATTTTCCCTATGAGTTGTGATACCAGTTCTGGTGGTTGCAGCATGGTGTCGTTGTTGGCCTGTAAAAGTTGTTCCACCGTGGTGCTAAATACCTTTCTTTCTTTTTTAACAAATTGTGTGGTAGTGCTATGAAACAGACCACCCATGAATGTTACGCTTATTATGGTCTGTTCCTACTTTCGGTGGTGAGAAATTGTGAATTGAGAATCATATTCGCCTACCGCACTGTGTCTGGCTGGTGGCTGCTTACTGTGCTCTCTAGAGTTATGAAACAGACTACCCATGAA